AGTGGTGGTGTTGAACCCTCTCACCCCACGGGTGCGACGGGTGATCAAATTGGTTGTATTGAACGGATTGACACGAACTCTCCTCAACTACTGCCTCACAATCAATGCATACAGCATAGCGAGCGATCCTCTGCAGACACTTTAGAAGGACTGGACAGCGGACGACTCGCTGCTCCCTCACAAAGCAAGTCCAAACTGACTTTTGACTTGTTTCCGCCCAGACCTGCTTCTCACATAGCGTGTAAATTTATGCGCTTGTGCAAAAACAAACATCCCCGCCCCCACACTCACATCTAAGCCTACACACACGTCAAATACACAGGAATGATTATCGGCCTGTTCACATCGGCCCTATTTTGACATCGGAACGATACCGATGTGTAAAAAAATGACCATATCGGCCGATATTATATCGGCGGCCAATATAATATCGATATCGATCCAATCACCTGCCAAGTACTTTTATAAACTGCCTTCATCTTTTCAGTCATTCTGAAATCCTAACCCTGTCACCTTGGCTGAAGGCTCAGTTTGTCCACTGTATCCCCAACAGATTGTAAGATAAAGTGATTCCAGTACGTTTTAGTGACATTTTAACAGTTTTAAGCATATTTTGATTATTACTGAGATTAGAATTATAACAATTATTTCGGCCAGGGTAATTGTGAAATATATTGATATTGTCCAGCGCCTACCTCAGATCTGCTGGTTCTTTCTGGTAGCTGCTGATTTCTCCTTCAGGTGGCACTCCGTCAGTTTGCATCTTCTGATTCGTCTCCTGAAATAGCGGGGGAAAAAATAGAAGAAAGTCGTCAGTTACAATTTATCTTAAAAAAGCTATCAAACAGAGAATGTCACAGACACCAGAACATGTGCATCCCAACAAAACAAATACCATGCAACTGAAAGCAATGGTACGTATTAAAACCAAACTAACTTGACCCTGCATGCTTTCCACAAGATGAAATACAGCAGAGAGATGAAGCGCAAGCAACAGCCAAACTCAAATCACAGCTGATGACTTGACTTACCGCTCCATCCTTCTCATTCGGGAGGGCGTGGACGCCACTTCCTTTTGACTTTTCCAGACTCATGGAGGTGACAGTCTCTAGGGGAGTTGAGCCTTGCCTGGACTCAACCACTCTTTTGGCCCCACTCAACTCATCCATCAATCTGTCGCGATCATTTTGGAGGCTGGCCATGGATCTGGAGAACGCTGCCAGCTGCCTGCTGTATGTGCCATTTTCCAGGACGACCTGCTTCAGTTCCCTCTCCTTCTCTGACAAAGCCTTCGACAGCTCATCCAACAACTTGTTCAGCTCTGTGTGTGCGTCTTTGCTCTCTAAAGCCTTTAATTTATGAACAAGGACGTCCCTCTCTTTGGAAAACATCGCCAGGTCAGAGGTGGCATCCTGCAGACTGCGCTCCACCTTGTTCAAGGCTGCCTGAGTCTCTCTGAGTTCTTCATCATATCTGTTTCTCAGGGTCTTGAAATCTTCAATGAGTTGGTCTCTGTCATTCTGCAAAGCAGCCATGGCTTTGCACAGGGACTCATTTTGAGCCCTCATTTCTTTGCTTTGCGTTTTGGCCTCTGATAACTGTTGCTCCATTTCGAGTTGGTCTTTTGCGAGCTCTGCCACCCTTTGATCAGCTGTCTCCCGCTCGTTTCTCATCAGCTCCACCTCGCGCTCGAAGGCGTCCAGCTCACCGTTGTATTTGTCCTCAGCTTCAGCCAGCTTTTTGTCTGTTTCGTTTTCCACCAGCTGCATCTTTCCCTTGAGCTCATCAATAAGGACTTTCTGAGAAAGAAGTTTTTGCTGGAGGTCATTACACTCAGCTGCTTTGGCCGCCACAGCTTCCTGCAAATCGACAATCACTTTGCCTTCATTTGTCGTGGCTCTCTCCTTTTTTAGAGTTAATATATTAGCTTCCTGTGAGGACACCTGAGCTGTAAGTTTAGAGATCTCTGCTTTTAAAGTAATGCTTGCCTCTTCTTCCTTTCGGAGTTCCAACCGAGACTCTCTGTGTTGCTTTTCAGCTGCAGCCTTTTGGTTTTCAAGGTTTTTGATCACATCCTGCTGCTTCTTCAGAAGCACCTTCAACTGGTTGTCCTTCAGGAATAAAACCTGATTCAGATCCTCTCTGTACCGAACCAGTTGTGCCCTGAGCATAGCGTTTTCTGAATTGAGATCATCCATTTGATGTAACAGCTTTCTTATTTCATGTTTAAGGCCTTTGGTGGCACCACCTTCCCCGTCAGGAGAGCCCTCTTTACCCGTTAACCCTAACTGACTCTTTGCTTCAAGTATTCTGTATTCTGACATCAGTCGCTCCCGTTCACTCTGTAAAGACACCATCGAATTCTTGAACGACTCCATCTTAGCAGCCATCTGCTCCTTTTCCTGGGTAGACCTGTTGATTTTGATTTGCAGACTTTTGACCTTGGCTTCAAGCCCTCTTAGCTCTTTGTCAGCTTTTTCTCTTTGGTAACGCGACGATGTTAACCTGTCCTCGTACACTGATACCTGGGAGCGATAATTAGCCTGGAGTTGTTCTAGATATCCTGACATCTGTCCGTCTCTACAGGACAGCAAGGATGAGATCTCAGCATCTTTGCTCTGGAGGAGTGTTTTCAGTTGCAGAGAAATTCCTTCCTGCTTCTCAAAGTCAGCCTGAAGTTTGTCATTTTGAGACTGTAAAAGCAGCAGCTGAGCATCAGAGTCTGCATTCATCTTCTCCATTTGCTGGAGATTTAGCTGCATTTGGGAAATCGCATCTTCTTTGTCAGCAAGCTGTCGGTTCAGTGTGTTTTTATCTTGTTCTATTCTTTCAAGGTGAGCACTGAGTTCCTTTACCTGCACAGACATCAGCTCCACGGTCTCAGTCAGTTCAGCGTTGCTTGCGCTCATGACAAACAGCTGTCTCTGCTGAGCAGCGGCAGCAACAGAGTACTCATTGAGCGTCCTCTCCAATCTTGACTTGGTCACTCGTAGCTCATTCACCTCTTTGTCTTTCACTCTCATGTCTTCAAGGAATCGTTTGATCACAAAACCCTGTTCAAGGAGCTGGTTATCCTTCTCGTTTAACGTCTTTTGGTATAAACCGTTCCAAAGTTTGGCAGCCTCTGCACCTTGAGCGGTGGCAGATAAAGCAGACAGCTTGGCTTCATTAGTCTCAGCTGCTCTTTTCAGAGTATTCATCTGTAGATCTTGAGAGTCCAGTTGCTGCCTCAGTTCATTCACTTTTTGACTTTCTTTATCTTTTAACTCCTTGAGGTCCTCTATCTGTTGCTGTAACACATATTGATTCTCCATGTAAGAATTGAATTGTTTCTCATCTATATTTTGTAGTGATTTGGTTTTCTCCGTGCCCTGATCTTCAGACTTTTTACTTTTCTGTGATATTTCCAGGGCCAGCTGGTCTCTTTCAGACTCGACACTCAAAATCTTTTCTGTGGCCTGCTGGAGGAGATTCTTGTGCGTAATTAGCTCAGCTTCAACTTGTTTATTTCTCTCCTCTAAAACTAATATTTTCTCTGAGCTTTTCTTCAGTTCTTTCTCGAAGTTTTCAAAAGCTGACTGTGAGATCTTCAAAGAACTCTCTAAATCTAAAATCAGCTCCTGGTATTTAATGCAGTTTTGCTGCAACTGATTTATCTCCTGGTGCTTTTCCTTGAGGAGCTCTTGCAGCTCTTTCTTCACATTCTTGGTGCCCTCGTTGCCTCTCTGAACTGTCTTCAGTTTCTCCTCAAACTCTCGGACTAATCTGAGCTGCTCCTCCTCTTTTTCTTGACGAACTTGATCACTCATCTCTTTACTAGCCACCAATTGAGAGGACAGCTGCATGTTTTGGGCTTGCAAAACAGTGACAGACTCAGTCAGTTCATCAATCCTTTCAGAATTTTTGAGGATCACAGTTTCCAAATATTCATTTTCATTTTTCACCTTGTCTGAAATCTCCTGAACATTTTCAAGCTCCTCCTGCAGAAGAGACTTATCATCCTCCAAGATTCTCACCTTCTCATTTAAGCTAATAGTCTCTTGGCTGTGTCTGTTAATAATGTCTTTGAGTTCTTTATTGACATCGTCTTTCTCTCCCAACTGCAATTCATGATCATTTTGTATCTTTTCAATTCTTTCAGACAGATTTTGCTTCTCCTTTTGTAACAAGTTGTTGATTTCCAATTGAGCACTGAGTTCTGTTTTCTGGGCCTCAATCTGGGCAGTCAGTGAATTGTTCAAACTGAGTGCTTCATCAAGTTTAAGTTGCATGTTGTTTGTGTATGTATTTGATTCCAAGTGCTTCTTTTCCAATGAACAGCTAGATTCTTCCAGCTTCTCTGCCAGTTGGTTGTTTTCAGCCTGTAATTCAGTAAGTTTCTCTCTGAGATCCTCTGATGACTCTTTAAGTTTGCAAATCTCAGCCTCCAACTGTTGATTTCTATCAGTCAGCTTGCATGTCGCCATTTTGTGATTTTCTTCAAGCTCAGTCAGCTCTTTTCTAGCTTTCTGATTCTGTTCCTCCAGCTCTTCAATCTTCTGCCGTTTCTCTTTGGAAAATTTGTGCATCCTCTCTTTAATTCTTCCATTTTCTTCCTCCATTTCTCTAGCTTGCTTCTCTAAATTCTCCATCTCTGTCTCTTGTTTGTGGATTTTTCTGATGGCTTCCTGCCGCTCTCTTTTGGCCCCCTCCAAAAGCTGTCTCATCTTATCCATTTCACTGCTAACATTTTCATAAGCTTGTAAAAGAGACTCATACTCTTGTTTCAGCTCAGCGTGTTTCGACTTCCACTTGGACAGCTCGTCTGTTTGGGAGTCCTTAAGAGATTCAAGCTGGCATGAAAAAGCTTGTTTCTGCTGGGTGATGTTTTCAATGGTTAGTTTCAAGCTGTCACAGGCTGCTGATAGGCTGCGATTATCATTGAGGATGCCATCAACTTGGGTGCTGAGCTTGTCCTTTTCCTTTTTCAGAGATGACACAGAGTTTTCCAGGTCTGTATTTTGTTGTTTCAACTTTAGCACTGATGACTCCAGAGCAAAGCCCTCGGCTTCTTTAGCTTCATGTTTGGCTGACAGCTTTTCTACTTCCTCCTTGAGCGTTGCATTTTCCTTCAATAATTCTTTCCTTGAAACTAAAGCTGCTTGAAGTTTCCTGGTTAGAATAGCAACTTTGCTTTGGTTGTCCTGATCATTCATTTTTGTGCTATCTTCTTGAGATTTCTGAAACTCACCAGTCTCGGTTCTCATCCTTTCAATGGCAATTTCATGTGTTTTAATTTGCTGCTGTAATTGCAGCTCAAGTGCAGCAATTAGTTCTTCTTTTTCTGAAAGTTGAGCCTGAGAAACTAGCAAAGCATCAGCTTTCTCCTTTAGTTTCACTTCAAAGTTTTCAGCACATTTGCGAGACAAACCGACCTCTTCTTTGTTAACATCTTGTTTGACGTACATTTCAGCCATCTTTACTTTCTCTGACTCCTTCAGTTGCCCATTCAGTGCAGTTAACTCATCCTTGAGTTCATCAATTAATCTGTAAGCATTTTCTTTTTCTTGCTTTAATAAATCCAAATTCCTTTGATTTTCAGTACAATGCAGTTGTGCTTTTTCAAGCTCCTCAGTGAGCTGCTGTTGCATTTCTGCTAATGTATTTTGGATGTTTAAAACCTCCAAGGATTTCTGTGAAACTAAAGCAACTGCTGTCTCAAGTTCCACTTTCATTAGATTACTTTGCTCCAAAAGAGTCTTGTTTTCTTCCATCAAGAGTTGATATTTTTCTTCATTTGCTTTCAATTGTTCCAGTGCACTATCAGAGATGCTTAGCCGAGTCTCCAAAGCAATGTTTTCACTAAATAATGCTTGCTTCTCCTGTTCGGTCTTTAGCTCAGCAACTTTAATAGTTTCCTGATATTTCTCAACTTCTTCTGTTTTCTCTTTTACTTCTGCACAAGCTTTCTCTAAGTCACTCTCCACCATTTTAAGTTTTGATTTCAAAGCTTCTGCTCTTTGCTCCATGACAACAAGAGCCTCGTCTTTACTTGCCATCACAAGAGACATGCTCTCAAATTTGGATTTAACATTTTCTAGCTCTGTTTGCAAGGTTGATAGAGAATGGCACTGACTCTCTTTCTCAGCCAGAGACATCTTCAGATCTTGTAGAGTTGTATCCCTCTCCTCAACAAGCTGCCTTAAAGTGTCCAGTTCATCTTGATCAGACAAAGAGGTTTTACGGAGGTCTTCCAGTTCCCTGACCTTCTCATCAAAGTTTAACTGGACAGCGTTCAGCTCATTCGTCTGCTGACAGCGTTGTTCCAGGAGAGCCTTGTAGTCGTCTTTTAGTTCAGCTAGTTCTTGAGTTAATTTCTTTTCATTTTCTTGAGCTTTCTTCATTGTCTCTTTGCGTGCCAGCAAGGCAGCCTGGGCCTTTTTCTGCAGCATCGCCTTTTCAAGCTTCATCTGCGCAAGCTCATTTTCTAAGTCGACAGCAGTAGCAGTGGAGGAAGATTTATCTTTTAACTCATCTTTATATGTCTTGATTTCACTTTGAAGCTCATCTAATTTCTGCATCCAGTTGTTTTTGTCCTGCTCAAATGCTTCTTCTTTCCCAGCAGCACTAGACTGCAGCTGCTCAATAAAGTAGCTTTTCTCACTCAGTGTTTGCAAAGATTCTGACAAACACACTTCTTTCTCATTTAATGTGGCTTGCAAAATTTGTTTTTCTGACTGTAATTGTTGTTCAAGTCTTTCACTTTCAGTTTTCTGTTCAATAATCTCTCCTTCTTTCTCAATAATTTTCTTTTCAAGAAGAGAAACGTTCTCTTCATACATTTTTACAGCAGCTTGAGCTTGATTTGTTACTTCCTGTAACTGATCCTGTAAAAGCGAAACCTCTGCTTTACTGTTCACAATCTCTTCCTTTTGGTTTTCATATTGCTCTATTTTTTTCAACAGATCCTTTCTTACAATTAGAGAAGCTTGAAGCTTCTTCTTTACTGCATCTTTTTCTTTGGATACCTTTGCTAGTTCACTCTTTATGGCATCCTTTTCTTTAATCAGCTCAAGCTTCTCTAAATTGTTGGTTTCAATTTCACTTTGAGAGCGTGAAATATGTCCCTCTAACTGCTGAGAAATCTCTTCAAACTTCTTCATGGAGGTTTTGTGTTCTTGCTCCATGCTTTCTAACTGTGCTATTAGAGATGTTTTTTCCTCACTAAGTTTCATTCTTTCATTTGAGGCAGATTCTATGACTTGGGCGATGGATGCATCTTTATCCCTCAGCTGCTGACTAAGCCCAGCAAGTAATTCCTTCTGCTGACTTATCTGAATGCTCATACAGTTGAGTTGTTCATCTTTTGCTTCTGATTCACTGTGTAAAGAAGAGTGTCTGACAGTAGCTTCTTTTACTTTCTCTATTTCAGCATTTAGCTGAATCTGTAGATGCTCTACCATCTCTTGCAAAAGAGCAACTTGATGACCCTTCTCATCATTACTCCTCTCTCCTTCATTAAGTGTGTTCTGTGTTCTTTGCAACTGTGTGACGGTTTTATCCAGCTCATTTTTCAAAGCGTCAACCTCTGACTGATGACTTTCTTGTAATCGTTTTATCATGTCCTGTATAGAGGCCTTTTCTTTATTTAAGGCAGCTGATCTCTCAGATGCGGTTGGTGGCAAGACAGAGGAATCTTTATCAGAATCATTTCTAAGTATAAGATTTTGTAACTCGTATTCTGCAGCTTTTAGAGCCCTCTGCAAATTATTGTTTTCACAATCCTTTTCCTGGACAGATGCTAAAACCTTCTCAAGTTGAATCCTGGATGCTGACGCCTCCAACTCTTTTGCACTCAGCTGATCAGAACCCTGTTTAATTGCAGAGGAAGCCTTAGCTAGTTTCTCCTGCAGACTGTCCAAATCTTGCTTCAAAGCATTAACTTTAACATCTTTAGATTTCATTTCATTTTCAACACTTTTCAATTGTTCTGCAAGTAGATTTTTATCCTGTTTTTCTCTATCCAGAACTAACAGCCACTCCTTCTCAGAGTCCTGCAGAATTTGCTCTATCTTTTGAATGTTTTCTTTTAATCGAGAAAGTTCTTCATCTTTGGCACTAACCTTTGCTTGAAGGCTCTCCTTCTCGGACATCATTTTCTCCACTGTTTCGTTCATGCTGCTGGACTGCTGCTTCATTTGAATCTGCAGCTCCCCCTGCGATGCCCATATTTGATGATGTCTCCTTTCCAGCTCTTCCTTCTCTGCAAAAACTTTTCTAACTTCCTCTTGCAAATGTGTGTTTTCATTACTGACTGCAGTAATAAGCTTCAGGTGCTCTTCCTTTGACAAACTAATCTCCTCATTTAGCCTCTTATTCTGCTCTTCTAGTTTCTGCATTTCCGAAACCAGCTGAGATGCGTGTTTGGCCTGCGACGTGAACTGACTGTTAATTGCATGGAGAGCCATTTCTCTCTGCTCAAGGTTTTCTGTCAGTGCATTCATCTGTGCCACAACTTGAAGATGTTGTGATTTGAGTCTTTCTATTTCAACAGTCAGCAGCGACACGCTTGCTTGATGAGAAGCATAAGCTTCCTCTTTTTCCTTTGAAAGACTGGAGTTTAAGTCTTCTGTTTTCTCAAGTTTGCCATGGATCGCTGATAACTCATTTCTCAGTGTTTCTATAGTGGTCTTTGCTGTCTGATGTTCATTATTGGTATCATCCAATAACCTCTGAAGGTTTGACACCTCATCAGTCCTTTGGGACAGTTGCTTTCTTATATCTTGCAACTCCTCTAAGTTAGTTGCATATTTCTCCTGTAGATTATTAAAGGCACTTCGTGTTTCTTCTGCTGACCTTTTGAGGTTTTCAGACTCACTGGACAGTAACTGAATTTGACTCTGAAGCTGTGACACCAACTCTGTGCTTTCCATGAACTGAGTTTTGAAGAGGAAAGCCTCATCTGCTCTTCTTTGAATATCCTGAAGAGACTTTGATTGGTCCAAAAGAGCTGCATCTTTTTCATCCAAGGCCTTTCTCAGATTTTCCACTTCAGATATCTGTACTTGGAGGGTGTTGTTGACTTTTATAACTGATTCTTCAAGGTGTGAAATCTGCTCTTTCAAACTCTCACACTCTGCCTCTTTGGCTTGTAGATTTGAATTGAGGTGTTCAACAGCAGTGGAAGATTGACTTTGATATTCAAGACTTGACTGTTCTTTTTTCACCAAAGTACTTTTCAGTACAGATGACTCTGAAGTAAGACTGTCAACTTGACCTCGGAGTTTACAGACAGAATCTTCAAGATCTGAAACTTTGGCACTTAAACTGACATTGTCATCTGATTTCTGTTTCAGCTGCTCTTCCTGTGCAGCAATCCTACTGTTGAGCTGCTCGATCAAAGTCTCATGCTGTTGCAGGCATTCATCTTTTCTTTGCACAATCAAATGGAGGCTATCCTTCTCTAAGCATGCTGTTTTGAGAAATGTGACTTCTTCGTGTGCTTTGGACAGCTCTGTGATCGTTTTTTGAAACTCCGATTTTAATTTTGTATTCTGCTCATTGAGTGCTTGATTGTTGTCTTTAAAATCAATTATCTCTGCTTTCCTCTGGTCCTCCTTCTGTGTCAGCTGAGAGTTTTCTGCCGTGAGTTTTTGCACAGCCGTCTTTAGGTTGGTAATTTCAACCTCCATCTCTGCGGCATTCTCATTCATCGCACCAAGCTGACTGCTGAGTGAAATCACTGATTCGTTTCGTTTATTCAGCTCATCTTTGTGGTTTTGAAGTTCATTTGTTACTTCTTTTAATGTCTGTTCCTTTTGCTCTATCTGCTGTTTCGCCTCCAAGCACTCTTGCCTGAGTGACTCTACCTCACCCTGCATCTGTGACAGGAGGGTTTTCTGTTGCATGACTTCATTCTGATACATGCTACATTCTTCTGCTTTCTGCTGAAACATCGTGTCTTTCTCCATTAGCCCTGACTTGAGGACAGATCCTTGTTCCTGAAGCATGGATACTGTATCCTGAAGTTGCAGCAGCTGGTTCTGCTGAGCTTCCAACTGTGAACTCTGTTCTGACACTGTTTGCTTGTTCTCATTCAAGGACTTGCTGAGTTGACCAACTTGCTTTTGTAAGCCATCAACTTGCTCTCGTAGACTTTGAAGTTGTTCTTCTCTCTCTGTTAATGTTTTTGATAGATTGGCACATTCACTTGTTTTCTCAAGCAAACCGGCAGAGTTTGACAGTTCACTTTCCTTGAGGATTCTTTTTAATTCATCTGCTGCAATAGTAAGCATCTCCTTTTCTTTCAACAGGCCGTCAATTATTTTCTGATTCTCTGAGATTTGAATTTCAAGCCGAGAGTTTTGTTCGTGGAGTGAACTCCTTTCAGTGGTTAGTTCAGAAACTGATTTGATGTTCTGTGCTAACTCCTCTTGTAGTTTCTGATTATTTTCTGTTAGGCTGCTAATCTTCACATTAAAACTGGAGTTCTGTTCAAGAGTTACTTTAAGCTGTCCATCGAGATCAGACAGAACCTGTGTTTGCTGAGCAAGCTGCTGTTCTCTGGTTTCACAGGCCGCACGAAGTTGGTGGTTTTCTTCAGTCACTGCCTGGATGTGGCTGTTTAGGTTAGCCAACTCTGTTTGCCTCACCCCTGCTTCAGACTCAAGCTTTCTGGAATTTTCTTCCATGACACTTATTTGGTCACTCAGAGACTTAACAGTCTTGTTGGTATCATTCAGTTTGTCTTTGTGTTTTTGACACTGCTGTTTCAAATTTTTCAACTTTTCTTCTCTCTCTTTAATTTGCTGGCGAAGTTGTGAGCGTTCTTCATTAAGTGATGCAGTTTCTGCTTGTAGCTCAGATACAACATTTTTCTGCTGTGTGACTTCATTCTGCAAACTGTGATTTTCTTTCAACACTGTATCCTTCTCCATTAAGCCAGACTTCAGACTGCATTCCTGTTCTCGAAGCAGAGATATTGTTTCCTGAAGTTGCGTTTGCTGGTTTTGTTGGGCCTCTAGTTGTCCTCGAAGATCATTTACAGTCTGCTCTTTTTCTGCCACGTCATGCTGGAGCTGGTCTGCCTTAGAAGTCAAGGTTTGCACTTGTTCTTGCAGTTGTGTCGCATTCTCCTCCCTTTCCCTGAGTATCTGGTTGAGTTTACTACATTCATTTGTTTTTTCCAGCAGAATCTCTGAGTTTGAGTGTGTGCTTTGCTCAAGAACTCTATTTAACTCATTAGTACGAACAGTCAGTTCCTCTTTATCTTTTTGTAGCCCTTCAATTATTGTGTTGTTTTGCAAATGCTGCGTTTCAAACATCGATACGTTGGCTTGCAATGATTCCTTTTCAGCTGTAACTTCTGAAATAGTTTTTACACTTTCAGTAAGTTCTAGTTCAAGTCTCTCTTTCTCTTCTGTAAGGTGATGTACTTGACTCTCAAGACTGCTGTTAAGTTCAAGAGCAGAAGCAACCTTTTCACTAAGTTGATTTAAATTCTGCGTCTGAAGCTCAAGCTCCTTAGTCAGTCCTTCAAGTTTTTCTTGCAGATGCTTTTTCTCAGTCTTCATTCCTTTTAATAGGCCCTTGAGTTTGGAGATGTTTTCAGATTTGCTTTGAAGTTCATTGCTCAACTTCTCATTTTCTGAATCCCGGACTTTCAATTCAGTGTCGAATTTCTGCCTCTCGTCCTCGGCCTGTTTATCAGTTGCCTTCAGTTGGTTTTCCAGTGACGCAATGGTTTCTAGTTTCTCTGTCATCTCCTTTTTGATGTGCTCCTCACTCTGTACTTGCTCCTGTAATTGTTTGGACAACGTCTGCATTTCATTATTGTATTTTTCCACCTGTTCCAGAAGTTTGTTCTGTTCATCCTTAAATGATTTTAGCTCTTTTTCATATGTCTGTTCTTTATCATTAAGTTGTTGCTGTAGTTGCTCATTGCTTGTATTTTTGTCCTTGAGCTGGACAACAAGTCCTTCTGTCTCTTGGAGCTTTTGGTTGGATAAAGTCAGCTGTTCCTTTAGGGAGGTGATGTGTGATTCACATTCAGACAGATGATTACGGTGGTTCACAATCTGTTTCTGGACTTGCCCTCGAAGGTCCTGAATAGTTTTCTTGTCCTCTTCAGTGTGCTTTATCAGAAGTTCCACCTCAGCCACTTTAGACTCTCTTTCCTCTTTGGCCTTGACCAACTCCATCTCAGTATCCTTGAGGTTCCCGACTAGCTCTGCGATCTTGCTATCCAGGGTTTGCTGGTCTGAATTCTGTGACTCTCGGATAATCATGGCCTCCCGCTCTGCCTTACTCAGCGCATTTTCTACATGAACCAGGTTCTCTTCTTTGAGTTTGAGCTCCTGCTTCAGCACTGTGACCTGTTCCACATATTCTGCCATGTTACTAGAAAGTGTTGATATCTCTTTGTCCTTTTCCAATAGGGTATCTTTCAGACTATCAATTTCCCGCTCACAGCTTTGAAGATCATGAATGAGTTGGGCTCGTTCTTCCAGGTAGGCCGTGTTTAGTTTGTCCAGCTCTTCGTTTGTCTGATCGAGTTCAGTTTGTAAAGTTTCTATGGTGACTTCCTGCTTTTGTGTCTGAAAATCAAGAGATAAAGAACAATGATGAAGCATCGAGTGAGGCAGGAGAATTTTTATCACTAGTGCAAGGATTATGGCATTATCTTAAGGAGAATTGCTTCTCAATGCTAATTAACTCCAACCTGTGTGTGCAATGAATGGATAAGAAAACAATAAATAAAGGATGCTGACATTTAGTCAAACATTTCAGAAACAAAATATTTGGTTCTTAAAATCACACCTTCTCCTTCAGCACACTCAGCTTCTGTGTGAGGTCGACAACTTCAGTTTTCAAATTAGAGCACTGTTTCTCTGAGCTACTGCATTTCTTGGAAACAGTCTCAAGCTGCAGAAGAAAAAAGAAACAAGAAAATTAACTACTGCTGAATATTGAACTGTGACAAAAAAAAAGTTAAAAGTTAACTCTTACAGTGTGCTCAGTCTGAAGGAGCTTGTCAGACACTTCTTTGTACAGAATTTCTTTTTCACTCAAAGACTCTCGGAGGCTGTTGATGAGCTCAAGTTTCTCAGACGTCTTGGCCAACGTATTCTCCTTCTCGATGAGAGAGCTTTCCAAGCACTCCTGTGTGTTACTCAGCCTACGAAACACAATCACACAATCGTAACAGGTAATGTAATTAACCTTATCAGGATTAGGATTTGCAGTAATGAGATGAAAGTTCAAGAAAGAATGCTAAGATCTAACAGCCTTGTATTTTGAAGGTGGATATGAAGAATTACTTTGTAATGAGAAAGAAAAGTGTAGCTTTTATAAATGATGATTTTGTATAGTGATTTATTTTAATATGATTAGAGGTAGCAGATTGTTGAATCTTTGAAAATTGTTAAATTAATAACTTACCCTTTAAGCTGTTCATTGAGACTGCTAACCAGCAGCTGATGCTTCTCTGCATCTCTGCTCTGTTGACTTCGGACGCTGGCAAGTTGGCTCTGTAGTTTCTCTGACTCATTCTGTAGTGGCAGAAAAGAAAAGATCAATATGCAGAGATTAAATCCTTGAAGCAATGGATAAAGAGATTCTCACTGCACACAGACGTGGATGGCGGCGGACACTCTGAGAACAATATTTCCATATATTATTATTGGATATTTATTTTCCCATTCATGTGGTTATAATGAACTTTGACATTCACCATTTTGACAGTTAAGCAGTGAAATGTGATTTATGACACCCAGTGAGTCTGCGACAGAACACCTCCGTAAAATGTTATTTAAAACTAAGATTAAACAAGCACACCACACCATTAGCCATCACCGCCAGAGGTGCTCTCCAGCGCACACATACAAGAGAGACCCAACACACCTGAGAGACCCAAAATGGCTGCTCATCTTCTACATCAAACGTCACCTGTGTTAGAAGGGTTCGTTACAAAATCCTAGTCCTCGGGAGGGGAATCATGCAATTCACTCATCATTTACGCATCAGTAGGTAAGTAATGACTATAAGTTACATTTTCACAGAGTGAGCGTTAGACAATGTTTAAAAAGACAAATACTGGTTTGATCTAACCCTGGGGCAACGAGACAGTGTGTGTTGTTGGGTGGGGTCGGGTACAGCGAGCTTACCTGTAATGTCTCTATACGGGCCTGCAACTGCAGTCGATCCTCCAGATCTTGACAGCGCTCCTCCAGGCTCAGTATCTGCTCCTGCAGTTGGTTCCTTTCCAGCTCCAACTCCTCCACAACGGACCGCAAACCATCTGGGATCATCAGGGAAGAGAATAGGTGTTAGGGGTGTGACATGAACAAAAAAAAATCAGTCTCAAATAAAGGCCAGTGAGGGGAGGTGGAAAAAATTACACTTTATCAGGATCTTACTGTTATTCTTAAATTTAATCTCATGACTAGAACAGAGTAACATTATACTAGCTCACTCTGCTGCTCGACTTTATCTACAGAAATACTGTTTGTTTTCATTCCCTCTTTAATTCTGCCTTTTTACTATTTATGAAAAACTTCCTGCACAGATGTTTCAGATTAAAAGTCTTTCAGTGGCCCAAAGGGAATAAATATCTGAGAATTTACTGTTTACTGGACTGTCACCTTTTATTCAAAAATGGAGAAAAAAAAAATTGTGATTGCTGTTTTCCTTTGTTAACACAAAATAGTGGAAACTGTTGAGTCATTTCAATCAGTTAATAATCAAGACATCAAATCATCTGAGAAATAATGTGAAAAACCTTTTTGGATTCGAGTCAAGGCTGTTTGCTGAATTTCAAAAATAGCACTGCCTCAAAGTAACATCATGCCACCACAGCAAATCTGAAGTTATCTGCAACAAAGTTTATAATTGAGCTAAGTGGGATGTGACTTTTTAAAAAATGTGACAGCCCTACTGTAATGGTACAAGGAAAAAAATAGGTAAAAAACCTTTACAAAAGGTGAATCAGTGGGAAGCCATGATCACAAAGTCTGCTAGAAAAGTGCATTTCTTAAGAGCACAGGCTAATTAAAAAGATATTCACTGGCAGATTCATTCATTAAAAGACAAGAGTGTAAAATGCAATTCCAGGGCTCAAGGTTTAGCCGCAAACAACCAAAAAGTACATCAGTCGGTTTTCCATTTAACAAACAACTCCAGTCCCCAATTATAATTTTTGTTTTTTGGAAATATTTTGAACGGCTGATGTATTTTTTGGTTTTACGACAAGCAGTAGCTTAAAAGACAACAATACAGGATGAGAGGAAATGGAGAAAAGGGAGCAGAACATGCAAACAATGAAAAAACAAAACTTACCACAGATGGGATCTTGCCACCTACATTTATATGACCTCACAAGAACTCAGTGCATTTAGTGGACTGATCCCAACAAAACACTAGCCAGCTCAACCAGCATGCACGTGTCCAAAGAAAATACTGTAAACTGATGAAAATGTAAACCAATGAATGAGTGTTCCTCCCTCCGAGATCATATCAGGTGTCCCAGTTACTTTTAGATTAGCTTAAATTCAGCTTGCTACAGTGTGACCCAGCAGGTGAGTCCACAGGTAGAAATGAAGGCAAGCAGAACCAAGCTAATCCCTCCAGAATGTAAAACACAATAACCCTGTGTAGATGACCCAGGTCTTACATTCACAATATTGGCAGGTTAGATGAAAAAAAAAAGACAAAACCAACCAACAGCCACAATCCAACACTCAATAAAACAAGTTTGGAGTGTTATGGTGAACAGAACAAAATATCAACCCAAATGCAACTTAAGTTTCCCAAAGGAATGTGCAGATGACCGTGTGCATGCCGGTGTAAACTGTCTAGCGGGTCTCACACCTGTGTCAGGAGTACTGTACTCGGGCCACCAACCTCCCATGTTCTCTCCCTCCATCGGGGTGGTGCTCTCAGAGGTGCTCCGCGGGTCCTGGAATGGGGCCTGACCGTCAAATTCAAAGTCCTCCTGCAAGTCAGATGAAATGATTTAAAGCAGGACAGTGATAGTTTTTCATGGTTTTAATACAAAATGATAAAAATAAGAAGCTTCTGGTGCATTCATTTAAGACAAAGTCACTTATTTGTATTCTGCTGTTTAAAGAAATTGTGTCTTATTGTAAGATTTTATCAGTGTCAGCAACCTGGCCATCCAGCATCTTGTGGAGTTTCGCTGCAGTTATTGCGACTCAAAATGACTATTTTTGTGCTTTTTTTTTTTTTTATTTAGGTAGAAAAAAGATTTACTGTTCCATGTGGTCATTTAATATAAACTATTAATTTAATATACAGAACATGTGCTATATGACGTCATAGTCATATCACACAGCTCTAACTTCCTATACATCTTCAAAACTCTCTAATCCCCTCTATGCTGAGCTGAGGCAGATCAGGAGCACGTTCAGCCACAGACTCATCCGGCCACGTGCCTCTAAGCGGTTAGGAGGCTCATTTGTGCCATCAGCCACCTGAGCACCCAGTACCTCCTACCTCCACTGACTGACTGTTAAACAACAAAATAACAACAATTTTAAACATGTTTTATTGTATAAAATTTCTATATTTTATTTTTATATTTCATTGTGTTTGTCAATAAAGAAACATCTGATCTTATCTTAAAAGTGACTGAGCATAAATTATTATTATTTCAATTAAATAACCAGGCTTATCAGGCTACTCGCAGCCTGTCTTTGGAACGGTTCCCTTAAATAAAATGGTCAGCTTTAAGTTAGAGATTAGTTGCAGTTGCAACAGGAATGTCCCAACCTTCACTGATGGAGCTTGTTCATAGCAATACACAGCACAGGAAGTGCTAACTGTGAAGCTCACTTCGGCAGAAAGAAGTACCTACCTACGTTTGGCATTGATGTATTTTTGAGGTTTGTTAAGGCGAAGTTTTAATTCAATTTGCCCCTTGAATCTGAATTGAATGATTTGTGCTGGTAGTTACATTTCCAGATTTTCTTAAACAATGAAAGATATGTTGAATTTGCTTTAAGTGGTGGAGGAGACCTTTGTCCCCTCAGGTGGAACTACACCATCGCAAACATCACAGCACATGTAAGGAATTTAACAAATGTCTGAAAGTTTGCCGGTGTTACCACGGCACCACCGCAGTAATGTCAGCCCGTCCACCTACCTGCAGGCTTCGCTGGGCTGGAGCTGCCAGCTTCTTGGCCCTGTGTTGGCCGAGCCCCCGAGATTGAGCCAGCTCCTCCTCCAACTCCTGCTGCCGAGTGGCCAGTGCTGGATCGGAGCAGCCAGGAAAGAACCAGTCATCCTCAATCAGTTTTGTGCCACAGGGAAAGTGGGGGGGGGGGGTTGGTTGGATTGAGGATGTATTTATGGATGGGGGGTAGGTAAAAATGGGTGGGACAGAATGATGGCAGAGCGAAAGAAGACGCGTTTTTGAAGACAGGATGACGGAGATGGAGAGAATAGATACGTGTGTTGGCATAGATGGTGTTGGTGGTTTTGATGAAGAGGGGGATGAGGCACTTTCAACACCACAAATGAACTTTGTAACATAGAAAACAGTTTCATCCAAAAGTGAACAGAGACAGACTGTAAGAGAAATATTAAGACAGAGACTGAGAGAATCAAAGGTGGAGAGAGAGAAAGTTACTCAAACTGCAGATATGTTTGCACTGTGGTATTTGCATAAAGTACGTGGACCTGAGAAACACTTCAAAAGCAACATTCTGGTCAGAGCCATGCACACCTAATTTGCATAGCAAAGGAAAAACAGCATTCAAACATGTAGGAGACGGAGAGAGAAAGTGCCTGTGGGAGGAAGGAGAGGGCTCCTTTTCATGAGTCACACTTAAAGCCAATGTTTCACCACTGTTCCTTCAGCAGGGAGACCAGACAGTTATTTAGAGTAACACGGGGAAGGTACAGATCTGAGGGGGGTTTTTCACTCAGCAGCGTAGGGCGCAAGCAGGGCTATGCCAAATTGACTGGGCTGAACAAAACATGTTCCCATCTGTTTTGTGACAACAGGCTAGTTCTGATGTGTTGGGGGAGTAACAGGGAGGGGGAGGGGGGCAGCTCAAAGCAAAGGGTGGGGCAGAAAAAGAAAAGGAGTTCAGTGGGTGAAGCTGTGGTCAGTGTGGGTTCAGTGTACACGCAGGGTTAAGCAGAGATGGACTACAGCAGTACAGTACTGAATGTAAGTCAGAGCATGCATCAGCACCTACACCGACCACAGCAGTAAGGATTACATGGAGGATGTAAGAACAGGAGAAACAGGATTATTATTCATGAAGCCAAAACAGCTAACACACTTAGAGGTCAAAGCTGCTGTTGAAGCCTGAGAATGCCGCAGAAGAAGTATCTGACGTCTGATGCTTTAAGTGAGAAACCAAAAGCTTCAGTTCAATTCAGGCTTTCATAAAGTGACAACACAAAACTCGTCAAGTTCTCAACAGGGAGATTTTTGTTTTTTCTAAAATGGTTAGAAATGTGAATTGAAGCTGCAGTGGGTAACTCTTCAGTTACGGCTTTATAAATAATATAACAGACACTGTGACAAAGAGTTGTTGCTGCCCGTTGCTGAAAAAGATATTGTGGACTGCAGCAGCAAACGACCGAAGAAACAGCTCAGCAGGCACTGATGTTGGTAGTGTACATGTCTTTAGATATTGTTTACAGCTACTGATAAGCTCCAACTCAGATACCATTCGACTCAATAGCATGCATTGCTTCAGTCTAAAAAGGCACATCAGAGCTTCTGTGTATCCAAGACTCACAGTTTCCACTTCAGCAATAAACTCATAATTACAGTATTTCCAGCAGCACTTGAAGGCAACAACATAAGGAAATTAGTGTTTACTCTTCCCATAGTCGATCCACCTGAATTAAATCAGCACAAATGACACTATTAGCAATGATTGGATTGGGTTGGTGAGTGAATCCAAAAGGTAAAAGTCTCTACTAACAAGGTCTGAGCGAGGACAAAATGTCTGAAGACAGGTTCAATAAAACTCTGCCGACAAATGAACAGCAGTCGTCTTTCAGAAAGTGTTAATTACTGCGAGGGCTTTGAGCCGAGTTGTGAGGCTCTCATTATTCACACTGAGTTCATTAATGTCTACCCCACTTCACTGATTCAGTGATTTAACACACACACACACACAGATAATCAAAATCAACAACCATAATTAATGTTAAAAGGACCATTAGCCAATTTATTCTGAGCATGACTTTGGTTTTATTTTACTGAATTAATGAAGAATATTTTTTGTGCATTACTCTTATTTCTCGAGGGGTGATTTGTTTGGCTAATCAAAGATTGCATTAGTTGTACTTGTAGTGTTCATTTCCATCAGTAAGCTCTCATAAAATATCCCAAATAACATTACTTTACTTGAATATCCTGATCTTAAAGTAACTCTCAAACCCTGTTTAGACCTGGTATTAACATGCATCTTGGGTGGATCACAAGTGGACAGCTTACAACATTTTGAGAAGGGTACAGCCATATTGAGTACATATTTGTATTGTTAATACCAGGTATAAACGGGTCCATAGACCAACACGAGACAATACTACATTATAAAATGTCTCGACTATGTGAGCTTTATCAGTTATGACTGAAACAATTCTTCTGTAATGTATGAGATCACTTCTTCTCTACTTTTTGGACAATTAGCCTACAAATAAAGACATGCTGTATCAGTGTGTGTGTGTGTGTGTGTGTGTGTGTGCAGCAGAAACTCTTTGAAGGGTGACACACATTAGTCCTCGTCCCAAAAGGAAATGACGGTTGTTTGATTATATTGGATTATTGGATTACTCCAACTTCTTTTAGTGTGGCCACACCAGAAATCAAAGGATGGAGAGAAGAAAACAGTAGGACAGAAGAACAGAAAGGGGTGAAGGAATGGAAAAGAGGAACAACACAGGAGAAGGAAAAACAAAATGGCAGACTCTAGAGTGCAGCCCGCCACTGCACTGCCTGTAGCTCGCCCCTCCAAAGCTGAAACTCAAGGGGAGCTGCAGGCAGTGCAGTGAGCAGGGGCTGCACTGGAGGTTTGGAGGAGCCTGCATGCACAAAACTGATGGGAAACTGTTCTGTGTGGCTGCTCCCATCCCTGGAGCAGGGGCTGGAGAGGGAGAGTGGGAGGGGGGTGGGGGCGGACGTCCACGAGATGGGAGGCAGCACAGGACAAACCAAATGCTCCCCGATAACAACGGTGAGGACGGGGGGAAAAATTAAGAAAAAGAAAGTAATGTTCAGTCAGACAACAGAGGACACGTGGTAAACAGTAAACGATAAATCTCTGCTACAAACATAGTGGTGGTGTTGGTATTGGGACAAAATAACAGGAAGTTATTTTATTTTCTTGCATTATACTGAGAGGAGTTTCTAATAGTTCGTCCACCTCAATATTAGAAACATTTTACAGTTAAAGCCCCTACAACTTTCATTCTGTGTTGATTCTGGCGTCCCCAGTGGACTAAAGTGGTAATGTTTCTCATTTCATTGATTTCAAGGGGAATAATACAATAACAAAAAGAGGAATTCTGTTTTGCCTAAGTTTGTTGCTTGTGCTGGATTATACTGCATTACTTTCTTGCAGTTGATAAAAGGAAGCTTTTTGATCACATATGGAGTGGAGCAGGTAAATGAAAGTCACCATCCACTGGCAGTGTGCGTCATTTTCCAAACAATACACACGAGGGACCAGGCTTTTCATCGAATTCTGACCCTGATAACTAATCCTCGCTACAACTGTTGATTCCACCTTCATTCAGACAATTTACATTCAGTTTGTGTCATCCTCTAGCAGCAGCCTTACCCTCTCGTTCCTCCTCCATGTGGCTGATGCGGAGGACCATGGCAGCCTTCTCCTCTTTGGCTCGATCCCTGGCGCTGACCGCCTCGGCCACCATCTCCTGCCACTCCAGCACCTGGCTCTGAGTGTCGTCGGCGCTGCCCGACTCACTGGCCTGTGACGAGAAGGAGTCGAGAGTTACAGGAGAACTGCAGTGAGCAGCTTTCATCGAATGTGCACAGTTGAGAAAAGGTGTGGAGGTCCGACCTGAGAGGCAGTCCTCTTGGTGAACTGCTCCAGGTCTGCTTGTAGTGTCCTCTGTTGCTCCTCATATACCACCAGCTTAGCCTCCAGCATGTCTAGCAGAAAGCATCAAACACACCATGTTCATTTTGGCATTATAGCTACTAATGACAGTGCACATTGAAATGTATAAAGAAAATATGGCTGGGGGGTGTTTGACCTGACTGTTGACTCAGGTTTGATTTTGGTACCGTTCTTTGCTTTGAGCTCCTCATATTGTTCCACTTTCCAGAGGTTTTCCTCTCTCTCCTCCTCCAGTGCTGTGATACGAGTCCGCAGGGCAGTCAGGTCTGGGGGGGCACCTCCGGCCTAAAAGGGGGGGAAGTAAAAATCTTTTGAAAATGTCTTATTATTCACCTCGCAGCCTTGCTTAGAAGAGTCCTTTTGTGTCCTTTTACTCCGGATAACAAGAGGACGTTGGCTCCCACCTGGCTCTTCTTCAACTCCTCCTCCAACTGTCTGATCCGAGACTTAGACCAGGCTTTCATTTTCAAGAACTTGGCCTCTGATCTGCTGGCTTCGTCCGTTTTTTTCTTTGCTTGTGCTGCAACCAAAGGAGGAGAGAGAAGCACAGAGGAAATGGATGAAATGTTGATGTTCAAGGCGACAGGAAGATGAACATGTTTCTGCAAATTAAAGAGCAACCAACCTTCCAGGTCAGCTATCCTTTGGATGGAGGCTGAATCCACGGGCACGTTTCCACTTCCCGAGGCCTCTTGACTGGCAACTGGTGCTGCGATCGAGGCCCTCCTCAGCTCCTCCAGCTGCCCCAGGAGATCCTGCTGCGTTTGGGCCATCTGTGCCTGATGCTGCTCAGTCATTCGCTGCACCTCCGCCCGCTGCTTTTCCATCAGGTCGCGAAGTTGTGCTCGCATCACATGCTTCTCTGCCTCCATCTTGGACTCCAGGCTCTCTCGCTCCACTTGTAGCCGACGCAGCCGCTCTGTAAGCTCCTGAGGGGAGAAAGGACGATGAGGAAGCAGGACAGTGGAGAGTGTGGCGAAAGCATGATGGCGAAGACAATGTCATCTGACTTCACATTTGAAGAGGAGTTAGAGGTTATAACATTAAGATAGCAGCAAACAGCTATTTGCTAAGTAAAGATATAGTGGAGTCAAGGTGTCCTGAGCAGAGAATGAAGTCTTGAGGTAAAATGAGTGTTTTGTGTCTCTGGAGTGTGATAGTGATATTACGGCTGTTTGTGTTTAAACTAAAGGTCTATCTCTGTAGGGATCCTTTCCATAATGCTGAGAATAACAACCTGAGCCTATCCACAAGGGTTAACGTTAGATAAATCAGTAAATTAAAGGTTTATTTTGACCAAACCAGTGTTGGTGATTGTTGGCAAGACTTACAAAGACGGTTTTGGTGAGTTTTGTTTTGTTTCTGTCCCATTATTTTGGTCCGAGATGCTGATGCTACAGTCCGACATCCATAGGCAAGTGAATTTCGTATATATAACCTTTAAGGAATTGGTATTACATATATCAAAGAAGAAAACTCTCTGTAAGCATCCTTAAAGGCCAAGCACGTCGACACAGAATACTATATATATAAATATATATATAGTATAAGTGAATAGTTATATATATATATATATAATTTTTTAAAGAGAAGAGATGTTGTTCCTGACCTTTATCTGTTGATCCCTGCCATCCACCTCTCCCTGGAGAACATCAATGACCTGGGTTTTACCCAGCAGCACCTCCTCCTTCTCATGCAGCTTCTGTTTCAGAGCCTTCAGAAGCTGAGGGGAAGATGAAAAAGATGTTTAAGAGCGGCCAACACAGTAAATATTCTATAATGTCCACAGCTTAAACATCAATACAGTCACACAGATTTAATGAGACTAAATCCAACACATTCAGTCATTCCATGTGCACAAAATAATGTGGCTACAGCAGTAACTAGACTGTTTACTTATAAAACACATTTCAACACACCTTAAACTGAGCAAAGCTGTGCAAAAGAACATTAAAATATACAGCAAAAACAAACATGACAACAATAAATGTCAAGAGAGAAAACACAGAATTACAGACAAATAAAAATGTGCCTCTCCGGTTTTCCTCAGTGATTCATTGAGAGATGAGTGTTGTCACTACCTGCTCTAAGTCTGCACTGGCATCAGACTTTGCTGCTAACTTGAAGAGCTCCTGTTCGTGCATCTGGTTGATCTCCATCAGCTGGTTATCTTTCTGAATAATGATGTCTTTGAATGTCTGGATCTAAAAACAAACACAGGGTGCATGTTCAGACAAAAGACAGCAACGCTCCTCACAACAAACACACAGCCATTCTGCTTGCATGCATGTGAAAAGAAATGATCCAGGGCCTCCAAACAGAAATATGCCAGAGTGCTTTGACAACCTACGTTCTGTTTGTACATGCTCTCCTTCTGACTGTACTGCTCCTTCTCTGTGACCAGCAGCTCTTTGAGGCTGTCCGCCTGCTCCTGCAGCAAACTGTAGCGCTCTTCTGATTCTCCCACCTTCCTGGTCAGGCTCTGCACCAGCAGCTGCAGCTCCTGCATCGCTCCACTGTCCTCTGACACCTGAGGAGGGGCGGCACAGTTGAGCACCAGCGAGTGGATTGAATATATAACAGAGAGAGCGAGGACACATCATAATGAACGTGCGTTATTGCTCTTTGGGTCGAACTTAAATGATTGGAAGCAGTGTAAGAGTACTGGAGTATGACCTGTTGTTGTAGTGCAGGTGTGATGGGCTGATCTCCTGCCAACCCCATTTGCAGGTGGACAATGTAGGCCTCTTTCTCTGCCAGCTTTCTGTCCCTCTCCATCAGCATAGCGTCCATTTCCTCGCCTCGCTGCCGCTGCGACTCGACCTCCCTCCTCTAGAATAAATCAGTCACACTTTTTGTTAGAGAAATGAAAACAGATTTTGATGCCTGTTTGCTTCTCGCTGTGTAAATCTATACCTGTCCACCTCGGTCCATTAACCCTTAAAAACCATTACACATCAGAGAAAGTTTATTTGTACAGCACCTTTCAACAATAAGGCAATACAGATTCATAAGACATTGACATAAACAAGCACACATACATAGGACTTTTAAAAAGTTTAAAGACAGTAGCACAGTCTTAAGCCCTGATTTAAGAGCATTAAGAGTTGTTTTCTGGGGGACTGTTCCATATATGTGGTGCATAAACACTGAATTCTGCTTCCCTGTGTTTATTCTGGACTCTGGGACAGTAAGCAGACCTGAACCCAGACCACCTGAGAGGTCAGAGCAGCAGATTAGAAATGCATTTAGGCCCCAAACACACACCCTGATGTTGCCTGGTGCTCTGATGTGTCGACCACAACAAGTCACAGACCAACAAGTGTGCAGACGAGACAGGAAGCAGGAGAGTCTGCTGTTTGACGCCATGACACAATATTTATAATTCACCCTTCTGTTGGACACCACTCAGGTGAAATAACAGCTTAAATAAGAGCTTAGGAGACATCAGAGAGTGTACCTTGTTCTCCAGCTCCTCCACTCTTTGTGCGAGCTGCTGCTCCAGCTCTTCAACCTTCTTCTTTAGCAGGACGATCTTTCCCCGATTGGCTTGCTCTCCACCTCCTTCTGATGAGCCCTGAAGAGAAACACAAAGACAGCGCTATAAAATCATCCACACACCAGAAACACCACTCAACCTGGACGCTCATATATCTGTGTGTCTGCTGGCTGCGGTTAGCTCACATACTGACTCCATCAGCCCAGAGCAGATGTGTTTAACAGTGACTCTGCAGCGGAGCCTTTGTGCCCCCAAGTGGTAAAAACCTCTCACTGCCTAAATCTGAACTAGAATTTGGATTAAAATGAAGTTTAAATCAGACACATACTGTTGAGATTTAGGGAACGTGAATGTGTGTCAATGTGTGTGTGTGTGTGTGCCGGTACCTTTTTGCCGTGTGTTGGCGTGCCCTGACCTCCCTGTTGTTTCTTCAGCTCCTCCAGCTGTGTCGTGAGCGAGGTCACCTTGGCCTTGTTCTGGAGACGCAGCTTCGACAGTTTGGCCTCACACGTCTCCTTCTCCACCTGAGTCACACACAGTAATGTCCATCAGTGAAGTGCTCGGTTACACTCTGCAGAGCCCGACTGATGAGCCCATCACAGACGTATTGATATTGTATCTGTGTGTACGTTATCTGATATGAAAACTGTTTTTTTCTCTGTATAATGCAGCAAAAATAAATATATATTACATATTGCTGTCAGTGCAAAGAGTATCCAGCAGAGGGCGCTGTGGTTTACAACATTAGAGGAAGCAGCTCTCAGCAATGTCAACTAGAATTGATTGACAATGTAGATGATACATTATTCAACATTTCAAATAAAGCTCTTTAATAAAACAGCCTTCTGAGTCATATATAGTATATATATTTTAAATGTCTTATCTTCTATGTTCTATATATTGTTATATACTGTGAGTATAATGTTCACTCTGCTATTGGTCTATCATACGAATATATAGTATTATTATTAGTATTATATATATATTCTTAACTTAATGCACGTTTGATTTTAACAGTTGCTTATTGTTCACTTTCTATTTCTGTATGGGTGTCTTGTTCAGCAACTTGAGCAACTGTAATGCGACCGGTTCCCGGGGATCAATAATTCTGTTTCTGATTTGTGATATCGGTGCACAATCCACAGAAAAGGTCTCTTTTCATTACAACTACAACTGCTCTATGATCTATGAAAGGCCATTTCTGCCAATGTGAAGAGGAAAAAAGGATTCTGTCAGTAATTATAATGAGAAACCTTCTCAATATATTAACTTATTATCTCAAAATATTGACTTAATGTCTGAAAAGTTTGAGTCAATATCTTAAAATAATGACTCTGAGATAGTACGTCCTTAATTTGAGATGGTAAGTCAATATTTTAAGAAAGTTTCTCATTATAATGACTGACAGAAATGAGCAGAGTGGAGGTTCCTGTTTACACTCTCCTGTAATGTGCTTTAACATTTACTGCTGAACTCTAATCTCACATTCCTGTCTTTATTGTTGTGAAGTAGACTTTGACTCGGGAGTTTAATAGTTAACCAGATCCGGGTTTCAGTGACTAACAGCGTTTCAAACTATTTCAGACCAACTGTGCCTGGCTCAGTCAGATACGCCCCAGACCATGTATTATTGCATTTAGTACTAGGAAAATTACATTAAAACACACCCAAAGTCATGGAAATATCCTGTCAGCATTATAAATACACAGTGACTGAAGTAAACAGAGACTGAGGAAGACTAACTTCATTAAACCCACAAGAAACCGCTAACAGTGCAGTGTTTAATGGCTAATATTTGGACAGTTATGGTCATAAACAGTGCACTTTCATTTAGATAATATGCAACTAGTTAGAGCTTGATTAGTCGACTAATTGATTAATCACCAACTGTTGATAATCGATTCATTGTTAAAGTAATATTTCATGCAGAAAATGTTGTTTTCAGCCTCTCCAATATATTTCCTGCCTTTGTGTTATATATCATATTAAACAGAATATCTTTGGTTTTTCACTTACGTTAGACTTTGAGAACTGGGATGGACATTTTTCTCAGTTTTCTGACGTTTTGTACATCAAATGATTAACTGATTCCTCTACATAATAATCAGCAAATTAATTAATAATGAAAATAATAACTGCAGCCAAATAACTAGAAAATGAGCGACACAGACACACTGAAAACCAAAGCAGGTGCATCTCCAAACTCTCTTTTATATTAAAGATTCATTTTGGGTTTGGCTACAGTGTTCATTTCCTAGAGCCAACAGATGTTTATCACATGTTACAACGTGTTTAAAATGACACTGACCCCTTCGACAGTGCCCATAATGAGGGTGTTTGCTATCAGTTGGAGAGCTGCTGTGCTCACCTTCAGTTGGTCATCTTTGGAGCGAAGCGTTGCATCCTTCTCCCGGATCAACTCCTTCAGCTGAGCGACCAGCTGCTCGGTTTGGGTGAGCCGCTCCGCCATTTCTTCCACAGCAACCTCTCCGCCACCAGCGGCGGCGCGGGGAGAGCCCGGGCCCTGAGGAGAGACGGGGAGATAGTGGGTCAGTGCTGGACCGACAACAAGACAACACGCCTGGTGCTGGAGTCAGAGACAGCTGAGAATGTTTCATCTGATGTGGAGTCTTCTGCCAGTGAGAGAGAGAGTGAGGGGCACTCGGACAGTACCAGAGGACTACAGAACATAAAGAAAGGGGCAATAAGGATGCACTGGGCCACTTTCTCCTGCTTCAAAACAGATTGTGATACAGAAATACACGTTATCCTTATCTGTATACCTCACTGTGTTAACCTGACTGATTAGCACTTGCTCCCAAACGGAGGTCAGCCACAGGTGGTCATCGTTTAAGGAGACTCTGTGGCGCACCAGGAGGTTCTCACCACTGAAGACTTTTCTTTAATAACGCCACAGGACAGGCTAAAATAATATGAACAATTCCCAAAACAACAGGATATTTGGTCATTTTAATCCATTTCCAAAACTAGTCTCTAAAGGCCTGGGAGCCCTGTGTGAGGCTGTAAAGACACACAGCGACTGAGAGACTGTGAGAGGATGTGTATGGACCTATAGGTGTGGCAGCAATCACAGTTCAGGGTGTCAGATCAGGAGAAAGGAGATGAGATGAAGGAGATGTCTGTAAAGGTGTGTGTGAAGTGAGCCTGATGAGAAAATAAAGGTGTAAAAATGCTGTCACAGGTGAGTTTGTGTGATTATGTTTATGGACGCACGCGCTAAAAGAAATGAGTTTACAGTGTGTACAACATTCAGCACCCTCGGTCCTTAAACCCTCAGTGTGAGTGAGGAGACACTCCCCAACAAAACTTTAAATAACAGAGGAAGAACCCTCAGGAACAGGACAGGACACAGTTTCTGATAGATTATAAACTATATGTGAAGAATGTGAGCTGACGCAGGCGCACTGAGCTACCATGCACCAGAGCGATCAACCACAAGAGAAACTGACATTCACTAAAACACGCTTATGGAGATGTTCATAACATGTGGCCGTCACATGATCGATCCCATGAGGTCAGTAACGGTCAGAATACCAGTCCGGTGTCGGTCAGGTGGGAGCGGAGGGCAGAACAGTGGAAAGTGAGGTGAAGTCTCTCAGACTAACAGATATTTAAAAGAATAAGAACTCAAATGTTAATGATTTTGAATAGACCTAACACAGACACAAGCCTAAAGGCTGCAGGGGGTTTAAGCCGGAGCAGTGACCCCCCCCAACCCCCCCCACAGGAAGTGTGAGCTCTGGTTGTCTGAGTCAAAGCCCTGTGCTCAGCAGTCCATCTAATTCTGACGGGACGTGAAGCAGACGGTAAAGCTCTCACTGGGTTTCCTCTGACTGAGCGAACGGCTGCTGCCTCACTAACTGCTCACTCTGTGGCATCAAGCACATTTATAGTCAAACATTCCTACGAACACAGAAAGATCAGAAGGCTTCAGTGTTTATCCTCAGCTCTGAGTAATGGCCGCAGTGTTGTTGGTCATTAACACAGTGTGCAGTAATTATGGATGTGTGTTTGAAGGTTACTGCTGACAGTGTGCACTTACCACAGAGCCGGGCTCGCCCTCCTCGCTGGAGAACCATTTCAGCATGGTTTCAGTTCAGAGCTGAAACACACACACACACACACACACAGAGTAAATACATAATTCATCGCCTATTAAAGTCCTGTTTGCTGCTGGTGTGTCAGTTAAAGCTTCTCTGGTTGAGTCACTTCCTCAACATGAAAGCAAAACAACCTGTATTCATTATTCATCTGAACCCATTTCTATCTTCATCTTCGTCTTCGTCTTCATGCCCCTCCATGATGTCAGGAGTTTAAACCAATCAGCCCTGCTTTAACTCTTAACTCCTCTTCTTCCATTCATCTGAAGTACTGAACGCTCCAACGTCCTGTTTCAAGTTTAAATACATTCAGTGAACAGAGATCAGCAACAAACAGCAACAAACAACAACAAACACTGAACACGAAGACAAACAACCACAACACAAGAACACCGTCATTTATGGGTCACATAAAATCAAGGTTCCAGGACATTTTCCAGGAGTTTCCAGGACAGCACTTCGTTTAGTTCACCAGTAGGTTGAAGACATTGAGCTGCAGTTTTCACACAGTTCCTCCTCCGACTGGAAGGTTCTCTCCACAGACGGCTGGTTTCATATTTAAATGACAGTCTCTTCCTCTAACAGCCGATAACAGACTGAAGGCTTTCAGGCCAAGCGACTGTCGGGACGTCGGCCAGAATCTTTCCCACAATGCAGCTGGTGGCAGGGTCCTCGTTGAACAGCTGACAGGCGTAGCTAGAGCGTGAACAGGACGGCCCGGCTGGAGGCCTGAGGACGCCGACAGGACCAGACAGAGGCTCCGGGTGACGCAGGGGATCAGGTCCGACCGGTTCCCTGTCTGAAGAGCCTCACACAGACACTGAACTGTTTACTGTAATCCACTCACTCACTTTATATGTAACAGGATGGAGGTTTGTAATGTTGGGCTGCAGAATCACTGTGGATGTGATGAGTCATCATTAGTGGATCACAACATCAAGTTTCACCTCAAACACGGTTAAAACTGAGAGTCTGTAACTAACTAACTAAATAAAAATGTTTTCTTTTCTTCTTTTCTTCTGAAAACTGGATTTGTAGGCCGGTGATTGCAGCAGTAACTTCATTCTACTGCTGTCTGACTGTAAATACCTTCATTAACACATGATTTTAGACAGAAACTGAAGGAAACACTAACAGCATCAGGTTAATGCAACATATTCATACTAACACACATTATCTACAATCTAACTGATGCAGAATCCAGATTAAACTATACTTCATTATTATAGTTCATTATTATAAACTCTGATTGAAACAGACTCAAAGAAACGACAGACAGACAGACAGACCTGCAGACAGACAGCTGCTGCAGACAGACAGACAGACAGACCTGCAGACAGACAGACAGACAGTATAAACTCTCTGAAGATGAACAATAATTATAAATATAATGATTTATAAGATATAAAACATTATATATATAATAATAAATATTGTTACACAGTTAGCATTAGCAGCTAACAGCAGCTCACTTTATCACGTTAGCTCGGCGCTAACGCAGCTAGCCTCGCAGCTAACACCGACTGGAGCCGTTAAATGTGACGTAGTGAACGGTTACCGGATTCACAGCTTCATGAAGAAGAAGAAGAATCCTCCCGAAGCGTCGCAGCGTCGTTACAATCCCGCGAAATTACATTTTATTCGGGCTGTCGACGGTGTTGGAACCGGACCGAGAGATGAGCATCGGTACCGTTTGTCAACACACAACCGGGGAGGGAGCTGCGCATGCGCAATTCTGTCACGTTGACAGCCCCCGGAAGTAAACGTCTTTTTATCGGTAAACAATAATTATCAGCTTCAAGAAAACAATAAAGTGAACGGAGGTATTGATTATTGATAGGTGTGTTAGAGTTACGGAGAGGGAAAGTCCCGTTTTAGCTCTTTTTTAGCTCTTTAGCCCGTCAGAAGAGGCCTGTGCTGCTCCGTCAAAGACGAAACAAACACCAAGAGGATTATCTACTCATCAGTTCCGCTGTCGCAGCAGCCTCGGACAGATGACTTTGCTTGTTTTATCAACAGTGTTTGTTTGGTTACTCCAAAACATATTAATTTATTACTCATTACTCTTTTCAAAAGTAATGTTTTACTTTTTTATTGCTTTATTACTCCAACTGCAGTTTATAATCACTGCTCCCCACAATATTGGATAAGATAAAATAAGACAGCAGCTCCAGATACGACACAACACAATAGATAAGAAAATAGACATTAAATAAAAAATACAACAGAAAATATATATATTTAATATGTATGTATATACACCTTTTTATATACAAATGTGTTATTAAAGTGCCTTGAACCACCAGTTGTCTCCTTGTGGCGAGGAGGGCAAATACACTTGCAGTTTGTAACACTAGTGTCCCTTCTGCCCAAAGTTCAGAATTACAACTATTAAGATTCAGTTTCAGCCACTGAATGTAAACGTTTCCATCTTCCAAGCTCAGATATATACAGTTTTATTGCTTACCATATTCTACTTAATTATTTATATTTATTGTATATAGTGTATATATGTTTGAGATTGTATCATACTTTGTTGTATTATTTCTTTCTTTACTCTTTGCACCTCATTCCCCTACACAGAATCAGTAAATAAATAAATCTTATCTTATCTAGTTTCGTCCACGATTACAAAATTGATCCGAGGATGTGATTGGATTGTTGGATTTCGTATTAGTCGGGGTTGCCAACAAAAGCAACTGTACAGTACTGTAACTGTAATATTATTACTGAAATGTATTAGTAATTAGTTACACTACTAGTTACTGAAGAAAGTAATATTATTGGTTGTAATGTCTTACTGCCCAACACTGGTTATCAGGGAAGAATTGGTTGTACATTTATACTAATACATTATAAACTGCATACATAGAGGGCTTTAAGTTGCATATTATAAGCTAACTGCTACTTTGATTATAATAAGTATTCTGAAACATAATATAATAAAGTAGACTTAAAGTCTCCCTTCACTCAAATAGTTTGTTTTTCATCTTGTTCCTTCAGTGTGATGTTTGAGCTTCACTGTGCAGAAAGAAGAGATTCATTCATAATATTATTACTGTAATAAAACACTGGAGAAGATCTTATTGTGCAGTGGTTTCAATCAAGTTCTAAGCTTACCTTACCTTTCCTAAATCATCAAGATGTCACCCAGAGTCCCTCACAATGTATAAAGAAGGAGACAGTCAGTCTGTCTGTTCTAACAAAGTGGAAATACAATATGTTGTGTTCAGTGTTCAACCTTATCAGCTGCTTTAGTTTAGTCAGTCAGTCAGGGAGGAGGCTGTGACCTTAGAGTTCCCACACATCCTGGAAAACCTGGAAATTTAGAGACTAGTTTTCCAGTCACAAAAAATGACCAAATATCCTGGAAATAATCTATGTTGTCCTGGAAATGTTTGTATTTTAGACTCCTTTAGGTCACCTATTTCAACCTCGACTCTATTTACTGAGGTTTACCAGATGAAAAGTGGAACTGACTTGCAGTGATCTTTTTGGCATCGGGTCTATTTTTTCCAGAGCTGTGAGTGATATTCTTATATCTACATGCACACAGTCTAATGATTAATACAATATACATTTGAACTGTTAATTAATGGTTGTGGTCAATTTGCCAGAAACTGCAGCTTATACGACGGTTTTTCCTGTATCATAAAAACAACAAAAAATACATTGATGTCCTAACATGTTTTCTTAAAAAGAGTGGGAACCCTGGATTTGTAGATGGGAGCTATATCCCATTTCAGTCTGATGTAAAGAGCAGCAGGGATTATTTATTACCTGTTGAACTGTAGAAGCAAACTGAGCGATATGTTTCAGAGTAATGTAAAGTTTTGTGCTTTCTGAGTGTGGATGAGTCTTTCAGCAGCTGCTGGTGCGTCACCCATACGTACTGACACTGTCCTCAACCCTCCAGTCTCTCTGTGGCGACCCTACGGGACCTTTCACTGTGTGGATTTAGCCTGTTTCACTAATCTTAGCTTTTAAGGCTATTTGCCTTAACAGTATGATATACCAACCCCCCCACACAGACAGTGCCCCACTACTTTTACCCCTACTTTTTACTTTTAATTTTGTTTTCACAGCACAAATAAAAAATTACAAAATCAAGTCAGTGCCATTTAAAATGACTAAAGCTATTTGGTCAAGAATGTTTTGTTAACTTACAAAGTTGAGTTAGTTTTACTTACTTACTCACTATATGATCAGTTTCAATATTTTTTTAAGTTAAATGAACTTATCTGGTTTAAAAGTGCTTTACAACTGTAGCTGGACAATAAAAGCAGACATTAAAGTTGATTTTTTTACACCACAGAGAAAGAAAAGGAAGCCAGCGGTCTCCTGGAAGCTGAGAAACATTTTAAAATGTAACTTTGAAATATGAGTGGCAGTAATTGAATTGAGTTTGAACTATGTGAGTGTGATCCTTAATGGTGTCTCTGTAAAGCTAAAGGATATCATATGGTGAGGCAAAGAGCCTTAAGGCTAAGAATAGTAAATCAGGCTAAATCCATACAGTAAAAGGTCCCAGGAGGTCTCCATAAGGCGACTAAAGACAGATGTGTTTAGCTGTGCAAGAGTCAACGGAAACAAAATAGGTCTTACAATAAAGCAGAATATGCTCAATCATACACACACACTGGTATTGGCTTCTGTTTATACAGTTTATTGATAGCAGACATAAAAGGACAGCTAATTACTCCACATTCACACTAATTTGACTCCTGTTATCATCCTCCTCCACTCGTGTTCATTATTCCTGCAGCTGATTTCTTTATCACTCACATTTAGATGACCTATAGAAGCAATGGGTCAGATAAAAACAACAACATGTGGACACATTCTGGCATTTAAACCAGGCACACAATGATAACAGAAAGTTACAGACAACGGTAAAGCTGTAACTGTATGGATATAGATAATGGGTAATGTCGGGTATACATGCATGCACACATAGTTTTGAAGACAATCCTGGTCCAGTATGCAAATTATATGTATGTATGTGATCCACCAGTGCACAAACACTGAGAATGGAGGGGAGGAGGAGACATCTTGTGTCCAGCAGGAAAACTTAAGAAATGAAAAAATATTTTATAGATTCTGGAAATTTTGTGAGACATTTTAAGGATTACTTTTTTGCAGAAAAATATCAGACACATATTATTGTTCAAAGCAGAATATTTGTATATATGTATTAATAAATTTTATGGGTAAAATTGCTTAGCTTAGCATCACACAGAGATGCACCGTTACAGGTGCAGCCGCTTCAAAAACACCTTGGCAAAGAACGTTGGGAAAAAAACAGCTGGTGCGCCTGCGGAGGTGAGTAAAAAGCATCAAAACAGGAAGAAAGTGCTCGTAAAGTCCGCCTCTTGCTTGATTTGATTGACTGACACTGACGAGTGGCAGAACTCTAGAAAACAGCAACGCACAGATATTTATCCTCTTATTAAACTGCCAGCAAGAACGTGAATTGTTGTTGTTTTCAGTGGTGGAATTTACATTTACTCAAGTACCTTTCTTAATAAGAAGTTTGTGGTATTTTTTGAGTATTGCAACTTTTACTTAAGTAAAAGATCCGAATACTTCTCCCACCACTGAATATTTGTGTAAAATACATTTAACAAACAGCATAATAGAAAATAAGCATTAGTTATATGTTGCAGCAGAGTGAATCTCTAAAGTTTCAGCTGATGGGTAAAAACATGCATCCACTTTGAACTATAAAACTGATTTTATCCACAGATAAAACGTTTAACTTCATCCAGTTTGGATGGGTGGGTTGTGATCTTCAAGCAGCAGTAGAGGTAGAAGGTAGAAGATGAAGACGACAGGCTTCTCTACCTAAAAAGTGGTGCCTGAAGATTCAGGCTGCATCTCCGAGCATGTTTGTATGTTCCACAGCTGGAGAAACCATCACTGAGTTCATCCTGAATCTTACAATGCAGATTATTTCCTTGGAAGATCACAAACCTGAAACATTCTCTGATGCATCAGTGTGTAAACAATAGAAGAACATTTATCAAGGCTTTGATCATAAAAAAATATATATGCTGCACAATATGAAATCAGGGATTCTTCTCATGCTGTCCAATGAACCAATCACAAGGCCCGATGTCCAGTTTGAGCTGATCCATCACCCACGGGTCCTTTTCAGCCCCCTCGATAAATTCCTCCAAAGAAATCTGACCTATTTCAGCAGAGGAGCAGAACGGCACACAATCATCATCCAAGCAGTTAGTGTTCATCATCAAGTACAATTACAACAGCAGAAGTGAGCTACTGTATTGTCATTATTAGCTAATTTTATTATCATCAACATGGAACTTACAGTCATTATTTTTGTCCACCAGTTCAAATATTCTGTCACAGATGTCCTCAATGTTTCCCGTGATGCTCGGATCATTGTGCTTCTTTATCTCGTAGATGATCTGAGGAGACAGTTCAAATATCTGAGAAAACATATCTCATTTACGTATATATCTGGAGGTTACGCTGTAACTGCTGTTACTGTTCTGAGTGAAGAGACTATCTCTCCACCCAGCTACATGTTCCATATTCTCAGTCAGTCCACGAGGAGCTTTGCAGGTTTAGGATGGGCGATGGGGCACAGGGCTGCATGCTAGACCGACCTTTCTTAGGTTTCTCTCTGATTTACAACTCACTGAGACGGCCGCCCACCTAGAGCCAGGGTCTGTTTGAGGTTTCTGCCTCTTAAAAGGAAGTTTTTCCTTGCTGCTGTCGCCAAGACCATAAGGAGTATGGTCCAGACCTGCTACTGTCTGACTGCTAACTCCTAATGTAGAAAAATGGCGGTTCAGCATTGTGGACCCACTCTGATCTCATTCTAATATCACAAACACACAACGAGTTGAAGGATAAAGTAATCTAAAAGTTAGCGTTCAAACCAATCTCGCAAGAATATTCTAAAGTACCTGAGGCAAATACGTTTTTTAATTGTACAAAAAAAGAACTGAATACTTACTTTGACAATGTGTTTCACTTCCTGTCGGTCCAGACAGCCGTTTCCATCTCGGTCATAAACTTTAAAAGACCATTTCAGTTTGTCCTCTAGTTTTCCACGAAGGACGAGATGCAGTGCCGCCACATACTCCATGAAGTCTATCTGACCGTCCTGAGAGGCAAACAGGACAGATCAGTCAAACATAATGTCACATTCAGACAAATACTGAAGCTCATCAATAACATTCTGCTGTCAAACAACATTACCGAACATTAATGCTGATTACCAAACATTAGCCTCTGTTAAATTACCTTATTTGTATCAAAGGATCGAAACACATTGTCCATGAATGCGGCTTCTTCTTCTGTTGAGTTGCTGTTGATTCCAAAGATTCTCTTGAATTCGTGCAAGTGCAGATTTCCACTTGGGCATTCGCTCGCAAACTTACGGTAGAGTCCCTGGATGTTCTGAAGAGTCACCTCTTTATCTGTGCCACTCTGTGTCTGACCCATGATTTTAAATATGAAGAAGCAACAACAAATCAAAATGCTAAAATAGTGCACATGGCCTGCAGCTCCAGCAGACTACACCCTGTGGTGCTAATTCAAGTTAACCTACGAGACAAATCCAATTGACTTTTCAGTGATCTTCTCCAAATCCCTCTCGAGAATTTTCTTTTTTCTTCAATATTTGTGTTTCTCCAGTCTGATAAAAAAATCTCCACATTGGTCCAAAGAAAATACTGATTCACTCACTACCGAGCATTAATGAATGTGCTCCTCAGCAGAAGCTCCGTTAGCTCTTCGACAGCAAAGAGTGGATTGCCCCCTGCAGACAAAAGGCCACCGCTGAGCTCTCAGCGAGATTAAAAGACAGATTGACGTCAAAGCCTGAGTGTGGTCTTGGTAAAACTGTTGATCCATTGCGGGGCGATGTCTGAGCTGCCTGCTGATTGTACTCTGCAAAACAGGAATCTCAAGAAAGTAAAAAAGCCTTGTTGAAATGAATATAAGTTTTTGTCTAAGAAGAAAAATAATCTTGTCGAGCATCTTTTGCATTACAAAAGTAATCAGTTTTACAAATATATATATCTAACTGTGTCTTAATAAGATCTTACAGCTAATATTGATCTGATTTAACTAGTAACAACAATGGTTTCCATATTATCCCAGAACAAGATTAATGTCCTTATTTTCAGAGTAAGAGCACTCGCACAACTTCTCAGTTTAATAGAAAGTTGTATTGTCCCAGTGTTGGAAATGAAGCAGCTCTTTAGGTTTTATTGTTTTTCATTTTCAATCTTAGATTAAGGTACAAATTCAGATCAATAAAGTGACAATTAAATGATTGAATTGTCAGTTTGTAAAAAGAACAACTTGGCCCATAACAGTCTTTTAGCGGTTAGATTTTTAAGTTACTTTTAAGATTTCTAGCCAAACAAAGTTGGCAGATATATTTGCTCAACACAAGAACATTCAACATAAGTCTTCTGAAATGCTATTATGATATCATGTTTTGCTTTAACAGTGCAACCTATTATATTTTACTTCAGTGGCTCAGAGTAACAATAAATAGCCAAACGTGAAGGGTCGCATTATTTGTTGCAATATTTTGTTTAATGAAGTGTAAAGTTTACAATTTTGTACAGATAGTGTGTGGATCAGAGGTTCACAAAGAATAAATAATAAATAAACCTTGTTTATTCTTTGTTCTTTGTTCACACAATGATATATAATGTGTATACAGTATGTGCTATACATTCCTCATTAATGTTATTTACAGGCGTCAGCTCATACTGTTTTTCCACCTTGAGTCAGATATTAAGTATAAGTTATATATCTCCATATTTGGTTCATTTCTGTGCACAATTATTTTTTTAAAATCCATAATACAGACAGAGAATTGTATAAAAAGTTTCCTAAACAAAAAAAAAATCTATTCAAAATTCATCCAAATCTCTGGTTTTACACAAACTGCCTGCAGTTACTAAGTTCACTGTTTGGGTTCATGGTACAGTTTTAGATACAATATGAAAGATTCTTATGATATATCACCTAAGCAGGGCTCGTCAGTTTAGTGAATAATAGAAAAGAGGCGAGAAAGGCCCTATCTAGAGCCA